ACAAACTTAGTGGGACACGTGGCTTATCCACTGCAAAAGAGCAGTCACAAAACAGCTACAGGTTGAACCAAAATCTGGTCCACCAACATCCGTAGTCCGGCTTGATTTTAGTTGGTCTAATGCCCACTTATCCTGGGTATGGCCAAATTTTTCATGGTCCCAGAAACTTTGTTTACAACCATCAGTCTTGACTCCCAGTGTTCTGTGCTGTTATTTAGCTCTAGTTTACCCCTAAATGTCTTCTAAGAACTCAGTAAGCAATGGAAGTGTTGGTAATGATGCTAGACAATACTGACCTTCTGTGCTTAGGCAAATTCTCTGGTTTGGCATCGGTCAGGTCCCGAAGGTGTCACACTAGAGAGGTTCAACCTTTATTTAATAATGTACCACATCAGCAGAGCAGTATAGGTCAGAAAGTGAAAAATGGATCATCAATATGAAACTATGGAAGAACGTGAATAGATTGACTGTCAGTCCCAAACACCAGAGCTGAACAATCCTAGTCTTACAAGAAATACTATGGAATTTTTCATACCTGCAAGTGGTCAGGACCTAAGTTTTACATCTCACCTAAACTATAGAACCTCCAACAGTAATTTCCCTTAACAATGGGACATTGCTAGGTACTTCCTTCTAGAGCAGCAGTGGGCAATTAACCAACCCTCAGGCCAGATGCTGCCACCACTGTATTTACCTTCATCTCCGCAGGTACGGATGCTTGCAGCACCCATTGGCCACCGATCGTCATTCCTGGTCAATGGGACCTGTGGGCAGTGGTGTCCTAGTCCACACTGCTTCCCACAGCTCCCATGGGCCAGGAAGGGCGATCTGCTACCAACAGGAGTGCAATTGCCTGTATGTAAGAAGGTGCAGATAAATAAAGTGGCAGAGGCCCATCAGAGGCTAACCCTGGCGAACTGCCTCCTTCTTATTGCCCACCCCTGCTCTAAAGTAAACTACAATCTACTGAATCACTCCACACCACTCGGAATAGCAATTAGGTATTATAAGTGTGGAAGCAGGCTCTTTGCTGGCCAGGCCTCTCGCGCGTATTGCCATCCAAGCAAAAGGTCCACTTCCCCTTGATGAAAACCCTTACACTATGTAACTTAAAGGTCAGCGACGAACAGGAACCAAAACCAGACCTGTAAAGTTCATGCTGGTTGTGCTGACTGTGCCATGCCCAATAAGGCAGAAAGGGAAAAACAGGAAACCATCTCACCCCCTTATCCCTGTCACTTAGCAAACAGGGTCTGCTAGCCTATCACAAAATGTGTGCAAAAGCTTTCTCTATAAAACAGCTTCCCCTCCTGTATCAAATTGAGGAATCCCGAATAAACATTGGATGGCAGAATACGAGCCAGGCCCAAGGACTGATCACCCGAAGGCCACCTCCCGCTCACCAAACCAGAGTTCCTGTAGAGCGTAACGTATACCAAACATATTTTAATACGGCCCCACAGGTAATTTGGCAATATCTATCTTTTATGGCCCCCAACGAATCCATATGTATTGAGATGAATACATTGTAAAATCTCAGTTAATGTCAGTTGGTCTAAATCAGTTATAAATATATTTGGACACAACATGTATACTTGGTGTTATGTTCCTGTTCATATTTTTTGAACTTAAAAGTTGACAGACAACCTTTATTACCAATAATATGTAATGTACTTTACAATGTTCCTGACATATATTTCAGCTTCCTGGATTTTTTTTTCATCTGGCCTTCAGATATGAAAGGCAGAGTGATTTAACACCTGTTTAGATTTGTCATCCATGTGACGAAATGAAAAGTATGCCGTTTGCAATAAACTTTGCATAAAATAGTTAATTTGCATTTAGTTTTAATGGTTCAAAGAATGTCAGGCAAAATGGTTGGCCCTCACGCATGTTCACTTCATCAAATCTGGCCCTCTTTGAAAAAAGTTTGGACACCCCTGCTGTAGAGCGTAACGTATACCAACTATGCTGTTGTTGCTGTTGTACTTTGTGTTTTTTCTAAGTGTGAGTATTGCTATCTAAACTTAGTTAAAAGTTTTGTTAAGTAGTATTGTTAAGAGTTTTAGATAAGTAATTAGACTTATGAGTAAGATTAATGTAAACATAACTGTTGATAATCCCTGGTCCCTTATTGACAACCATTGGGACTTAGAAAAAGCTCAGGGAATTTTCATTTATTGTATTGCACTTTGCTTATTGCTCCTACTAATAGTTATTTGGCGGCCACGCATGTAAGAGACTAATAAAGAAAAACTATAATTGGAAGTATTCTAATAAAAGTTTAAAAGATATTTAGTAATAGTTTGCCTGTTTCTGCGCCTTCCTGGGACTAGCCACATTTCCGAACCTTTTACTTTAAACCACAATAAGGAAATCTGTCCAATGCCTGGTGATAACCAACTCCACTTAACTTTACTGAATGCTAACAGTGTAATAGCACTGTGTAGAAAATAGAATTGACAAATGCTCTGAAGAGACATAGTACTAACCACTACAGCCCCAACGGAACAAAGACTTAATCATATGGTTAATTTTAAGCACTGTAAATAGTCCTGTTGACTATGTGTAAGTGTTTGCAGGATTAGGGCCTATGTGGGGTACTAAGTATTAACCTTTAGTTCTCAATACTGCCCCCAGTGAAGACAAGGATTCAGTGTTGAGTTCTTATACCCAGAGTATACCATGCACACAAAAGGGTAAGAGGACAGAAGATTTGGCATTGGCTTTGTTGGGTTATAAATTAATACAATAGGATAGTAAAAGGCCATAATCACCTAAGACACTGCACGCTGAATACGTTAGAATGATAAGGAAAGGACATTTGAGCCGAGATAATGGTGCTAGTTACATCACAGCTAGAAAATCCAATATAATATTATTAAATAACTCACGTGAGGTTCTTCTGTCCAGGAGAGGAGATGACAGTGGTCACTGCAGCAGGGGCATTGATTTTAATTACTGTGAAAGTAGGTAAAGCCATGGATGGGGTTTCAGTAAAAATTATAAGAATAAATACATGTGTTGACTACTTTTAAACAGTGGCTTGGAATTGGCAGAGTCAGTGAAACAGGACTGAATCCAGTCTGGCATTTCCAGTTCTTGTTGGAGCTCTGTAGAGAGGTGATGATTTCTATTTATAGATCTCATTGCACTTCAGTTTTGGTGTAAAACCAGAGTTTTCACACCTTCACATTAAAATAAGAGATACAGATTATGCTGTATATCTAGGACTTTTGACTTAGATAATCAATGTTTAACCATTCAAGACTTCACCCTGGAATGTGCTGCTCCCCAGCAGCTCTATGCATGTCACAAGGGTTTGTAATTATTTTACCCCTGTAATTCATTCTGCAAAATACACTTTTACTTTCTAATTATCTGGAAATGGGTTCTTTATGTTGGGGGGGAAATTGCTTAGATATGTGGATTTTATCAAATGAATTTCTTTTTGAGCAAAAAGCATGCTTATGAGAAAGAAAAATTGAGCTCCTTCAAGTAAAAGTAAAGCGGCTTCCTAGCAACAATGGCCTGGCTTTCGGGAGAGTGTTACCAACTTTTCTGATTTAATCACGAACATTGTGGTATTTCTAAAACACTTAGTTCATGAAGTCATGTGAATACATGAGCTTAGCTTGATTTTGAAAAAAAAAATCCAGACCTTGAAGTTATGAAGAAAATCTTAAAAATGTGACCTAAATGTTGTATACCTTTTATTGGGGTCTCACACGTTTTAGAAAAACAAGATCAATGAGGTAGTATCTTTTATTTGGCCTACTTCTGTTGGTGAGAAATGTGAGCTTTTGAGCTTACAAAGAGAGAGATCCCTTCTTCAAGTCAGGAAACAGATTGTCACAAGGTGGAGCAAATTGTTTCTTGTAAGTAGTTAACAGACATTTGAAGGGACCATTCAAGGGGAAGTGACCTGTTAACACCCAAGCAGTCAAAATGTTTAGTTTTTCTTAAAGATCCAGCACAAGGAACCATGAAATTCTCAGACAAGCCTGCGGGGGCGGGAGGCGTAGAGGAGGCGGTAAGGGAGGGAGGCAAAGGACACAATTTGAAAGGGTCAAAAGCTCTGGGCTGTTATGGGCAGTGCAGTAGGGTTATTCTGGGTCACTCCTATAAGCACCCAGTATGTCCCTGTGGGCGGCCATGGAGTATGGGGGGGAAGGGGGTCTCTGCATGCTGCCCCCACACCCAGAGCCAATGGGAGCTGCAGGGGTGGTGCCCAGAAAACCTTTGCCCCCCTCCCTCCCCGGCCTAGGAGCTGATGCCAGAGGAGAATGTGTCAGTTAAGAGTCACCCCAGGTAAGTGCCTCCTCCCTCCCCAGCCCAGAGTTTACACCCAAACACCTTCCCAGAACCTGCACATCCTCCGGCACCTGCAGGCTCAGTGCCTGAGCTCTGGCAGCCCCATGGACTGCGCCCAGCCCCTGCTCACCGGGCAAAAGCAAGGGGTGCAAGCGTGGGCAGAAGGGCTAGAGGCGGCCATGCAGCCGGTGGCAAGAGAGAAGCAGCAATTTCCGCCTACCCCTCACACCTGCTGCCCTCAGGTGAGCCTTGCTCTGCACCCTGCTCCAGCGCTGCCTCCTCTCCTGGACCATTGCCTCAAATTCTGGCTTGGGAGAGTTGGTGACATCCTCAGCTTCTGCCCCCCACGAGTGCCCCCAGCCCATGGGGGGCCGTGCAGAGTGCCAGCCCAGGGAGGGACGGCCTTGTGTCCCTCCAGACCCATCTCAGGGGGAGTGGGGAACGCACTCCTCCCATGGTCCCCCACATAAGCATGGTCCCAGCGGCCAGGGGAAGGCAGCGCAGAGTCTCCATCCCCCATACTCCGGCCTGCAGGGGGAAGCTGGGGCTTGTTTCCCCGCATACTGGGGGGCCCAGCGGGGGTGAGTTCACAGACGAGCAGGGACACGCACGGAAAGTCCTGGTCGCACCCTCCCGGCTGCAAAGCGCAAAGCTCCAGACACAGCGCAAAGCTCCAAAAGCCCGGAGGCCAGTGCCAGCCTGCACCAGCCCCGAAGGCAAAGACACAGAAGCTCCCCCGGGCGTGGGCATGTCTGGGTGGCTGCTCCCTCCCCCGCGCAGAGGCCGGGCAGGGCTCGGCTCCCACGCCCCGGAGCCAGGGGAGCGGCGCGGCCGCGCAGGCACAGGGGGCAGGGCCTGGCCCGCTTTCGCTTTCGGCGCTGACCGGGCCCGGCTGCACAGAGAGGAGAAGCGGCGCAAGGTCAGTGCCCCCCGGCCGGGCGAGCGGCAGCCCCCCGCCCTGTGCCCGCCCCCTCCCCCCGGAGCGTGGCTAGTCTCGCCACCCCGTCTGACCCCTTTGCTCCAGGTGCCTTCCCGAGTCTCTGACCTCCCCTTCTTCCCCTGCCCCAGAGTTGAGGCCCTCGTCAGGACCCGATCCCGACTCCTTTGCCCCCCAGTTCTCCTCTCTTCCTTCTGCCCCTTATCGCACCCTCTCCTTTCATCTCCGCCTGCCCCCTCTTTCCCCGGGCCTGACCCTCTCACCAGGGCCAATTCCCCATTCCTGACCCTCGTCGGTGGGTTCCCAAACTGGGGGGGGTGAGAAGAAATTCCAGGGGGGGCGTGAGGCGACCCAGCCACACACACCCCTGTCAATCCCACCCCGAGTTTCGCTGCCATTTTTTTGGGAACGGAGGCGCGAGGGTTTCTCAAAAATCAAAAAGGGGGCATGATACCAAAAAGTTTGGGAACCGCTAGTCTAACCCTTTCTGACTCTTCCCTGCTTTGCCCTCTCCTCCATCCTCCTTTCCCCTCCCTGCCTGATCCTCTCTAGCGCTGTCCTTCCAGCCCTCCCTGGCTTTTCCCCTCTTTCCCCAGGTTCTCCCACCTGTCAGATCACCCTAATCACTTCTCCAGGCCTCTCCTTTCCCTTCCCATAGCTGACTCCAGCTCTGTTCCCACTTTTTCCACACACATCCCAAGCCTGACCCCGGGACTTTTAATACTCCAGTCATCTGAAGAAGTTAGTCTTTAAAGTGACACTAGACAATTCAGTGTTTTTTAAGTTTTTCCTCTAAGGTTAAGCATCCTTCCAACTCTTACCTGCAGAGCAACCCCACCACCCGACTTTCTAACTAACGCCTTAACGCCATCTCTTACTCCATGCCTTATGATCTCCTCCTTTTTCCCTCAGCATTTAACCCCTCCCTGTAACCATGGTTGCCAGGTTTTTGTCTTGACAAATCTGTAAGGGGACTCAGTATATGCTGCCTGCTGCCCTGTCTTATGGGCTCAGAGTCAGAATAATTTTGTTCTTTGTATTTCAGAGGTGACAACCCTTCCTCTAACCTTCCTTCTGACACCCCAGCACCTGAACCCCACCTTCCATCACCTTCTATCCCTCTTCGCCATCTGACCCTCTTCTCCTTTTCCATTGACTCCTAGCAGCTAACTCTCTCTACGCTCTTTTCTTCTCCCTGGCCCCAGAGCCTTCTGGTCCACCCCAAAGCTTGACCCCCCCCCCTTCTCTTTTTTCTGACCCTCTTCTTCCTCCTATCCTATGACCCTTCACTTCTAATGTCTTTTCCTCCAATCTTCAGTGTTTTACCCTTTTCTTTTCCTCTTTTCTTAGCCCCAGTGATTCTTCCCTTCCTTTGTCTAGGCCAGTGGTCCCCAACGCAGTCCCGCGGGTGCCATGGCGCCCCCTGGGGCATTTGTGCGCCCGTCTAGTGACCAGGGCCGGCCCAAGCTATTCTTGCGCCCTGGGCGCCCAGCGCATGCGCAGCCCCGCCCCTGGGCGCCCGGCAGCCCCAAAAGGTTGGGGATCACTGCTCTAGGCCTTGTCTATACTAGAAAGGAGGGCTATGCTGGTGCAGCTAAAGTGAAACATCACTCAACACTCTCCCGTATGACTAAAGTTACAATGGTATAAAGGTCCAGGTATAGATCTTGGCATAAAACAAAAGAAAGGGAATAAGCTATATTGCTATAAGGCAACTTTATACTGATATAATTGCCTCCAGCACTGGTGTTAGTATTTTGGTTTTAAAAAAAATTACACCCCTGAGAAGCTAACAGTTCACTTAGAATCCCACAATTCCAATGCACAAGACAAATTATTCCTTCCGTTTTTGCATTTATTAATCTTCTTCCATGAATTCATTCACCTTTCTGGATTAGGTCTCTCTGATATTCCTTGTCTTCCCTAAATAATCTTGTGTAATTTGCAAATTTATCATCTCTGAGTTCATGCTGCTTTCCAGATCAGTAAGGAACACATCCCTCTTAGGGCTAGGGAAGTAGGGGAAGGATAGCTCAGTGGTTTGAGCATTGGTCTGCTAAACTCAGAGTTGTGAGTTCAATTCTTGAGGGGGCTATTTAGGGGTCTGGGGCAAATCTGTCAGGGCTGATACTTGGCCCTGCAATGAGGACAGGGGGCTGGACTCAATGATCTCTCATGGTTCTTTCCAGTTCTATGAGATAGGTATGTCTTCAAACATCATCAGTCTTAGCCCTAGTCCTTTATGAACTGTGAGTATTCCTACTGAAGTCAAATTAGATGAAACTGAAAGTCACTTTCCCTTCTACTTTTAGGCTGGTATACAGTATTCAGATCAGAGTCCATGCAAACAATTTAATATTTGCTTGCATAGTTCTACATTCCCCTGGTATCTAATAAAATAATCAGCATTTCTTATCTGTCCTTGATGAGCTCAGTAGGAAATGCATGAATAAGGTCTACTTTAATGAATAATTGTTTGTAGGAGCGGGGCCTATGTAACTTTTCATTGAATACTATGCTTTTCATTGAATACTATGATTTTAAAAAATCCAAAACTTTTTTGCCTGGTAAGTAGTGTGGTTTTTCTTATGTCACGTGTATTACAGAGGAAATTATTGCTTTCAGTTACACTGGTGTAATTCTGAAACTACTCCACTGACTATAAATTACTCTCAATTTATATTGGAACGATTGAAAGCAGAATTTGTCCCAAGTGCCATAATTTGCCTCAGAGGATGCTCTGAATATCAGAAGAGTAATACAGTAATTCCTCATTTAACACAGTAGATATGTTTCAGAAAATGATTGTGCTAAGTGAAAACGTGTGAGGCGGGGTCAGTTTTCCCATTGAAAATAATGGAAAAGGTAGAGGTTGCGTTTCAAGCGCATGTGTGCTTGCAGCTCCAGCCTGCATTTGTTAGCAGCTGGGATTGGGACATAAGGTTGGGGGAAAAAGGGGACTAGGTTATAGCAGGGAGGGGAGGTGTTTGGCTCTGGGGAAGGGAAGGACAGGGGAGGGGGCTTGCAGCCCGCGGCTGGGTTTCCCCAACTGGCCAGTCACCGGCGGCTGCGTGGGGTTTACTCTGCCTCCGGAGGTTCACCGCTCGCCGCGCCATTCCCTGGCGACCCCCTCTGGCTGGATGCCTCACTCCCTCTCCTCTTGCAGCGGGCAGCTGGGTCACCGGCAGCTGCACGGGGCTTCGTCTGCCTCCTTACAAAGTGGCGGAGGTTCTCCGCTCACCGCACAGTTCCCTAGTGACCCCCTCTGGCCAGATGCCTTGTGTCCGGCCAGAGGAGGGTCACCAGGGAACAGCACAGCGAGCGGAGAACCTCTGCTGCATTGCAGGGAAAGCCTTGTGCAGCTGCCAGCTACCGGCCCGCCCTTGGGGAAATCATGTTATTGTGGGGACAGTTCGTGTTGGTCGAAAAATGTTCCCCCTCCAAAAAAATCATGCTATCGCAAAAACGTGTTGAGCGGGCACGTGTTAAGCGAGGAATTACTGTACACATTTTGCTGAGAAAGATAGCATAACTTTCTTTCTTTTTTAAAAACACACTAATATTGTGTTAATTAGAAGCAGCGAATTTCAATTTCATACAGAGTCTATATGCAAGAGTTATATAATTATATAATTGTGTTAAACATGTATGTATGTAGGTATGTATGTATGTGAGAAAAATTGAAATCTTCCATTATTATATGTTGTAGTCATATGGGTCCAGGATTTTAGAGGGATAAGATGGCTGAGGTAATATCTCTTATTGGAGTGACTTTTTGTGAGTCAGAGAAATTGTTGAGCTTACGCACAGCTCTTTTTCAGTTATGGGAAATTCATTTGTTTGAAGTCTGAAGAAGAGGTCTATGTAAGCTTAAAAACTCGGCTCTCACCAAAAGAGGTTGGTCCAATAAAATGTATTACTTCATCCACCTTATCAGTAGAAAAATTGAAAGCTTTTTTTTTTCTCTCTTTTTCTTTTCTTTTCCTTTGTAGGATATTTTCAAACTTGGATTATAACTACATTGGAATAGCTATTATTTTTATATTATTTTTTTAGTGCTGCATTTCCAATATACTGGTTTTGGTCCACATTGACTAAATTACAAAGTATCTTAAAAGTATGATATAAGACCTTTCACTAGAAATGTATTTTTATTTTTGACCTTAGCTGCCAATTCTGGACAAATTTCTGGGGTCACTTTTTGAATAATTGCAATAAGAAAAATCTAACAGTGGTGGTTGAATACACATAATATTAGTATTAGATTGATGTAGGATCCAGAAAATCATGGTCACTCCTAGCCTATGAAATATCACACTGTATAACAGGTTGATAATTAACCTCAAATGTATTTGATGTATTAAGTTTTTTAGTTACAGAAATATATTAAAATATTATAGCACTCCCTGAAGGGCACTTATATTCTAGTTCTCTGTTTTAGCCTGTGTGCATAAATGGAAGGAAATCAGTCCGGTCCTGAGCCCATACAGAAGGATGAAGACTATGATGAAGATCAAGGTGATACTGTGGATGCAAGGCCAGACAGAAGTAGCAGACTCTCCATCTTTGCAAAGTAAGCTTAGTTTTATAATACTTTATTTTTGTGTTTCCATCTATATGCAATGGAATGAATCCCAAAAGGTGACATATTGTGCTAGCAAAAATGTTAAATAGGCCTTAAAAACCTTAAGTCAGGTTTTGGAAAATTAAATTCAGTCGGTGCAGCTTATGGATTCATGCACTCCATGTCCATGGAAAGTATTTCTCAATCCAGACAGTGCATGACTGTATGGGAATGAGAAACACAGACTACAGTGCATGATATTTGTTCTTCACTTTTACAGTACTTCCATTATTTCAGAGATGAAAATCTTGGATATTCCTAGTTGGGTTAATTTCAGGTTTTAATAAGCACTAGGGGGCTGTTCCA